AGCTGCCATAGAGCTGGGATATTGTTTGTGGACAATATTTTCTATTGTCTCCTGTTTAAAAAGTGAACAGTGCCTAGTGAAGCTAGGTGACTTTTACACCTTTTATGATGACTACATTTGGTGGAGTTGACATGCTGTTTTCATTCTGCGTTTGTGTAGTTCAGTGCTTTGTTCAAAGTTAAGTGTTTTCAGAAAAGTATGTTTTGCATGTATTTTTTTACAGTCCAAATTTTGACTGCTGAGAAGTTTCTATTGTACAAAACTTCATTTAAAAGGTTTTTCTACTGAATCCAGGGTATTCTGAAGATCAAAGCCTGTGTGTAAAATGCTACCAAATGGCGAAAAGCAACAATAAACAAGTATGATTTTTACTTTTCAAAAAAAAAGAAAACTGTTACGCTTATAAGCAAAGATCTTTATTATATAAAGAATTTATATATACATATATATAAACTATCAAAATTCTCATAGTTTTATGATACTCTTTATCTTCTTTTGTGCCTAAAACTGTGTCACATCTAAATTGAATTTATTGGTAGAGTTTTATGTACATAATATAGTGATTTTTTTTTAATCTCAAGGAATTAATAGGACAGTAATTATTCCTGGGTACATAGCCATCAATATATTGCATACATAAAACTCCACCCATAAATTCAGTTAAGATGTGAGCACAGTTCTCTGCTGTCATGACCAATCATAATTCTATTATTTGAAAGTTGATCTGTGTTGGAAAATATTAAAGGATAAATCTAGTGCCTCAAAGATCAGGACCAAGACCTTAGTGGTCATCTGGTCATTAAACGTTATTTCTGGTGTTTTACTAGTTATTGTCTAATTTAGAATTGGGTTCCATGGACTCAAAATGATCAGTTCCCATACAAGTCTAAGAGCTCAAATTAGGCTAAATACGAACTCAGGAAAAGATTAGTAAACTCTGATCATTCTCTCTATAAATTGTAATTCAGAAATTTTTGTTTTCACTATTAGTCTGCTTTTGCATTTTTTTTGACAGAAATTTATCTATAACAGAAAGAATTCTGCTCTTACTTGCACAGACCTATTTATTTAAAGCTGAGTCCCTCTCCTATACATACTTATTCATTTGGACTTATGGTAAAGCAGGCATGACTAACATTCAAAACTTGCCAAGCAGTTGTAAGTCTAGGTAAGGCGAAAAACACACTTTCAATAAAATCATCACTTTCTCCCTATGATTGCAACAATCATGGCTTTTTTTCCTGCAAAGCAATGTGCTGAGAGCTGCTGGTAGCAATGGCTTTATCAGAGGCCATGGGAGTACAAAGTAGGTGACAACTAGTATTCAACAAGTCCACCTATCAGATGAATACTTCTCTGATGGGGAGTCCCCCACTTGGCAAAGACCGTGGGGGTCACTGACTCTGAATCCAGTTTCTGTCTGTAATTCTCTCATGTACTGCCACAATTACTCCCTAAAAAGAACTGCTATGGGTGTTTTCCCACTGTTTGTGTGTTTATCCCATGTAAATATTCCATCTATTGAGTACACATATAGCTGTAGATGGTTAGGAAGATGATTTCTGCTTGAGCTGTATAATTCTGATGAACAGAAATAATACTAGGATATTTTTCATAACTGTCATAGGAAAGTAACAGTATTCTCAGATAATTTTAGACTTCAGGACAAATTTAAAACAGACTACCTACCCCTGCAGAGAATACACAAAGACGAGTTCCCAAGTATTTGTTGAATCAAGGTCAGGCATGAAGCAACTTTGGTAGATATAATTCTCTGCAGTAATGGACTTTCTACATGTACTCCTAGCCTCACTTGTGATATGAGGCTCAAGTTTCAGCCAACTATCTGTTTATTGTTTAAGTCCTGAATTTCAATGTCAAACTGTCTGAAAATGCTAACCAAACAGAGCTATGTGCCTGCTTTACACACCTCCCTAGCCTGAGAGAAACTGTGTGATTTCTCATGGCTCAGTCTCTTACTGTATACTCAAGAAATGCTTTGTGACCTTGAAAATGTAACTCATATTTGTCCAGAGTTTTTGCTATAGAGACAGAGATATGTGTATATAGGACAGAGATGTGCATGTAAGGCAGAAATGTGTGTGTAAAGGAGAGCAAATGAGTGAGACTGAGGAGATGAGAAAGTGAGTGAATGTGAATGATGTAGTAATGTGTGAAGGAATGTAGCAGAGTAGAAAGAAAGAGTGTGCATAGGAGAGAGCTGTGTAGGAGAGAGATATGGCTAAAGAAAAATGTGCATGGAGAGAGATATAGCAATGTGAAAAGAGACATACCTGTGTGGAGACAAAGAGAATTTCAGAGACGATTTTTTTTCAAGATGAAGTAAAAGAGAAAATCGCCATCAGAAAATGTGTGTTTCCTTATTTTCCCCCTTAGATAGAAAGGTCAAACCCTCGGATAGATAATAATTTTTTTCTAAACCCCTGCTACTCTGCAGGCAATCTTTTTGTGACCCTGGGTGCAGTTCTGGAGGCTGATCTTCCCGGGCTGTGTTAGTAATTGTTTCAGGTGTTCTTGTTAATTTCATCAGCTTTTTCACATGATCCCTGTGGGAAATGAGCTGTGATTCATTCCTAGCCAATGCTGCATGAGAGAGGATCACGCTAGGGCAATATCCAATATTATTTTGTAAGTGCTGTTTTTAAAAAGTGGATTTTCGCTGGGAGGAGGTGGCACACGCCTTTAATCCCAGTACTCGGGAGGCAGAGGGAGGCAGATCTCTGTGAGTTCGAGGCCAGCCTGGGCTACCACGTGAGTTCCAGGAAAGGCGCAAAGCTACACAGAGAAACCCTGCCTCAAAAAACCAAAAAAAAAAAAAAGTGGATTTTCTCCTGTTGGATATTGAACTACTGCTCCATAAGATCTGAAGTTACTGTAGCTTCGTTCATCCAGCCTGAACATGAGGTTAACACACAGAAGTGCAGTAGAGATGGAAGAAGATAAGAATGCTCAATGAACAGTATCCAGAGTGTGGTCTCTCACCAGACTTCTTGTGGAAGTAAATATTTCTGAGATACTTCAGATAATATGATGTAGGTTTATAACGTAGAGATATCCTAACAACAGCAAGTGAAGGTAACAAATTCCTCCATGATGCACTCATCTCCCATTGCACTTTCCACACATCCAAAAACACCTAGAATTTCTGACATTTGTGAATCCATAACGAGTAAAACATAATGAGATTATAGGCTTCTGGGAATCTAAATGAAGACCGAAATATTGAGCAAAAGAGCCTGGAGAGATGGCTCAAAAATTAAGAACAATTGCTTCTCTTCCACAGGGCCTAGGTTTCCTACCACCCACATGATGGCTCACAACCATCTGTAATTCCAGTTCTAAGGGACTAATACTCTCTTATGACCTCCCTAAGCATCAGGAATGCATGTGGTACACAGACATATAGGTAGACAAACACACACACACACACACACACACTTAAGATAAAAACATTTTTAAAAAAAAATATTGAGGGATAGTAAATAAGCATTAATATGGACTGGGCGGTGGTGGGGTATGCCTTTAATCCCAGCACTTGGGAGGCAGAGCTAAGCAGATCTCTGTGAGTTTGAGGCCTGGTCTACAGAGTGAGATCCAGGAAAGGCCCAAAGCTACACAGAGAAACCCTGTCTCAAAAAAACAAAAAAAAACAAAAAAAAAGAATTAATATGGAAAAGGTAATTGTATATTTAAAGAGTACTCAATTCTCTCCTAAAATGTTAAATATTAAACTGCTAAACAATTTTCTAAACATTGAAAAAAAGATATTGGTAATCATTTTAATCATTTTTCAAATGCAAAAAAAATTATTTTCTATGGTACATAAAGATTCTGTGGGAAATAATTTGTAAAATTCCTAAAGAAAGCACCATAAACCTAGACTTGCTCACTAATATCAACTGATATTTATGAGGTGAAACTTTATGTGAGAATGGAAGTATTAAGAAAATTGTTCTGAAATGATAAGCACAGATTTGGCATATTGGGAACTATAAGATCAGTTGCTTTGAAGAAAAAATAACTGGTAACTGTTGATGCCACCTACATATCAAGACCACATGCTACCAGACAGGCAGGTCTTCTCAGTGTGAGATGCAAAACTACCTGTTTTGGGGATCCTGATGTTACTAACAGTTGCATCTTTACTTGGTTTCTGTAAACAGCTGACTGCTTACCAGAGCCTATTAGACAGTTAGCCTGGGTTACATGGCTTTTCTGATGTTTTCCTGGGGAAAATTTGAAGCTTCCTAGTCCAACATTGTGTTGACATCTTTGCACACTAAATTTTCAGGGATTCGGAGATCACATTCCATCAATGCATCACAATACTTGTAAGTATTTTTAAATTGATGAAAATTAAAGTTCATTCCCTTTTTTGTATCTTTACAAAAATAATGCTAGGAATAAATCTCTGATGTGTTCTTGGATTAAATTTGTGAAAATCTCCTTTTGTTTGTGAAATGTAATTATCTTCAAAAAAGAGAAAGAAAAAAGGAAAAAAATCAACCTTGGCATCATTTCTAGGTAGAGCTATGATCAGCTCCCTCCTCCTGAAGTCCCCCATCCTGACTTTGAATGGTCCTATTAGGCTGGCTCTCATGTCACCTTTTTAGTCTAACCTTTTCAGAAATGCCTCACTCTCCAGTTCCAAGACTCTAATGCTAAGCAGCTAGAGAGAACCTGGGAACTGTTGGTCAACCTTTCCATGTGTGTCTCACCTTCCAGACTGAGAATCACAGACTGTGTGCCATGTTTTCTTGTTGACTCATGACTAGAGGACCACTGACTCACAAACAACTACTAACAGCCATTCCCTGGTCTGAAAATACCACCTAACCCAAGTCTGAAATATTTATAAAATGGAAATCATCATCTCCAAACACCACCCACAGACTTCCATCAAAACCAGTTTTGTGTCATAATGATTCATAAAAAAATAAAGTATCTTTTGAGGAGAACATGTTATATTTATTTTGAAGCATCATGAAAATTAAATCCCCTTTTTTCAAGACTGTTAGCCGGAGTTTCAGCTGAATGTGAGAGTTGCTAAGCAGCCTAGATTGACAGGAAATGAGGCATCCACCAAACAGCATCTGAGTCCCATCACCAACATCACTGTCCACACACCATAACTTCAGTCAGAGTCATAGCCATGATTAGGTCTCGGTGTTAATATTCCTCAGAATATGGATATTCAGGGTGTTCCACAAAACTAAAATAGGAAATAAAAACAAGCATGCACTGTATGATCCATTTTTGCTGTGTAAAGACATGACATCTAGAAAGTTACCTTGGAGGTGAGAGTTATTCGTTTTATTCCCTAACATGTTGCAGAAGGTGATATTCTTACATTCACTTACAAAGCTTTATTAGAAATGTTTTTAAAATATTATTTATTTATACATTTTTTCCAATTATGTCCCTTTGCCAGGAACAGAACACACAAAGACCAGTGTCAATAAAGATTCATCTCCCTTAGCTTCATCTATGCATCAATCAAAGAAAGAAGAGCCAAAAATCTTTCCCAACTTCAGTCTCCAAAGAAAGGAGAAAAGTATAAGTCACTTTAGTTCAAGGTAACTCTAGACATTGATCAACACAAAAATCTCTTAATATGCCTTAAAATATTATTTATGCCTACTACTTTCACTTCCATTTAATTATTAGTAATCCATTCATTATTCACTCACTGCCCATTATGCACAAAGTAATGTATTAGACTCAGTTAAGAAAGAATGGCATCAACAAGATGGGCATCCATGTCTAAGCAGCTAACTGTATAATATGTAGACCTCTATATAGAAATAACAATCCAAAATAAGCAGTGATAAAAATCATTCATTGTTAAAGTGTGACAAGAATTATTCATTACTTACAACAACGGCTCACTCACTGAGCTATATCTCTCCTTTGCCTTCATTCTGCTCTCTACTAAAAAAATCTGCCCGGCGGTGGTGGCGCACGCCTTTAATCCCAGCACTCCGGAGGCAGAGCCAGGCGGATCTCTGTGAGTTCGAGGCCAGCCTGGGCTACCAGGTGAGTTCCAGGAGAGGCGCAAAGCTACACAGAGAAACCCTGTCTCGAAAAACCAAAAAAAAAAAAAAAATCTTACTAGTGATAACATATATACCAATTTTACATGGTATTGTAGATTTTTTAATTCTCCTTCAAACATTACCATATTTATTTCTATGAGAATTAAAATTCCAACAAACAGAAGATGTAGATACATAGATGATAGACAGTTGAATATGTACATATATATATATAGAGAGAGAGAGAGAGACAGAGACAGAGACAGAGACAGAGAGAGAGACAGAGAGAGACAGAGAGAGAGAGAGAGAGAGAGAGAGAGAGAGAGAGAGAGAGAGAGAGAGAGAGATGCAGTCTTTGTTTGCAATTTATAACCTGTTTCCAGTATGAAATTTTGTTACCACAGATCATGAAGGGAAACTAAAAATCTTTGGGGTGGCTATTAATGCTCCTATGCAATAGTGCTTTTTCCTAAATGTTCTTTTCTTAGTTTTGAACATGATTTTCAAAACCTTCTCTGTGTTTTGCAATGACACATACATATTTTCAAATCTCAGAAACAAATGTTGTATTAACTATTTTCCAAGGGAAATTATAAGGATGAATAAGGCACTTGATTTCAAGCAAGGGAGAGTCTTGGACCTGAAACTAATTAAGGTGAGGTTTTTATCAACATTACTTACATCTCAGCTGCAAGATATCGAAAATTTTTGTTCAGGCCATCTAGGGTTTTCATATCCTCAGGAGACAACTGGAATTCAAAAATCTTTCAGAAAAACAAAAGGTTTTGACATTTGAATGAATGAGATTTTATGTGTCAAAGGCAATGTGAGTAGCATATATGTTTCAAAAAAAATGAACATTGTTTACCAAAGCATTCAAGGTTAATAAATAACAAGTAAAAATAAAAAAACTGCTTTTGAGATATATTAAAACTGCAGTACCACAGATGAGAAAATACAAACAAAACATTCAACATCATCTAAAGGCAATGGCATCACCTACATAGTTTCAAAGAAATCTAAAGCAAATATTTGAAATGTATCACAGAAAACAGTGATTCGCATGGAAAGTACATTTTGTAATAAATCAATGAATAATTAAAATGTAAACAATTGCTCATTCAATATTATGTAAGCCAAGATGTGTCCAAATTCTAATTATATCATGTTTATGTAGGACAAAAGAGCTGGCTTTCAAAAGGATCTTCTTATTTAAATTTGAGACATTTTAACTTCAAAATGATTTTCACTAATTGTTCACATCTTAAAACATATGCACTGGTAAGTCTCTTGGTGCCTTAAAAATACGGAGAAAGAGAAGAATGGAGGGAAGGACAAGGAAATTTGTCAACAGTGTAACAACTGATGAATCTAGTAAGACACATAATTAGGGTAGTGGGCGAGAGTAAATAAAACAATTGAACACAGAAAAGAACTCATAAATGTAATTATTCTGAATAAGTCATTTAAAATTACATATATCTTTCTGGATCCATGCTTTACATTACATAAAAACTGCAATTTAGAGAACAGCTTAGGGGGAAATAACACAAAGCCTTGGCAAAATAGTGAAGGAGACTCTTGCCTGACAAATGAAAAAATGTGATGCTCAATCACATAGTAAGTATGAAGACTGTAGTAGGTGCCCTTTTTTCGTGAAGTAATAAAGCGAGAACGAAAACAAGCAAAAATAGGGAGAAGGCAATTTAGCAAACACTTCTCAATGTGTGTAACAGTCATTATTGAGACTATGTAAATGCAGAAAACTCATAATCCTTATTTCTTTTTGTTTGAGAAAACAGAACATCTTATAATTCACTACCTAGAATTACAAATTCTTACATTTTTATACTTCTACCCTTCAATCAACAGTGTTCATTTGTGTGTGTTTATGTGTGTATATGAATATCACTGTCAAATGACCATATATAGACCATGTCACATTACATTGAATTATATATGATAAATATTACATATACTTACATGATTTACCATATATATTTATCAAATGGTAGATATTGATCACATATATAATTGATATATAAATTCCACACACCATCAATCTCTCATGCCTGTACAATTCTGCACACATCTGCAAGCATTTATTACAAAATCTGGGTTTATTCTCCTTCTCCAGCAGTATTTCTAGGAACATCAGCAATACTTGCCTACAACAGTGAGGCAGTTGTACCTGTCTGCCTGGCTTAAGTATCAGACATACATCTGATTCAATTGCTGCTCCAGTTTTAATATCAATTTTTTTAATTAAATTTCTTCATTTACTTTACATCCCAACTGCAGTTTCCCCTCCCTCCACTCCTCCCACCCCCTCCCTTCACCTCACCTCTGCAGCCCTCTGCACCCCACCTCTGTTTCTGTTCAGAAAGAGGCAAGACTCCCATGGCTGTCAACGAAGCATGGTATATCAAGTTGAGATAGGACTAGGCTCCTCCTCTTGTATTGAGGCTGGGCAAAGAAATGTACTCACTTATAAGTGGATATTAGCTCTACAGTAAAGGATAACCATGTCACAATCCACAGACCCAGAGAGGTAATGAAACAAGAAAGGGTCCAAGCAAGGATGCATGAATCTCCTGGGGAAGAGGAAATAGAAGAGAGCTCATGAGTGAACTGGAGGTGGGTAGAGATGGGAACATGAAAAATCTGGTTCAGGGTGGATGGAGAAGGAGAGTATTGAAAGAAATGACTGGAAAGGGGGGTGTTTTGGAATCAGTCAGAAACCTGATGCAAGGGAAACTCCCAGGAATCTACAAGGATGACCCTAGCTAGCTAAGACTCCTAGCAATGACGGATGCTTAGCCTGAACTGGCCATCTCCTGTGACTGGGGAGGAGGAGGCTTTCAGTGGAGGGATTGGGATCCCGGGCAAGCCACACAACTTTGGACCTACTGTCTGTCCTGCCTATGGGAAGTATGTAGGGGAGGGAAGAGAGAGTGACACAGACATTTTAGGAACAGCCAACCAATGACTGGTCCAGCCTCAGACGCATACCACAAGAGTGAGCCCACCCCTGACACGGTCTGCAGCTTCAGGACCCAGAGCCTAGATAGGCCAGAGACCTAGGATAGAACCAAACACGATTGGGGAAAAAATGTGAAGGTAATGATGCCTAATGATATTCTGCTATGCTCATAGTTTGGTGACTATCCCAATTGTTATCAGAGAGCCTTCATGGACGAACTGGTGGAAACAGATGTAGAGACCCATAGCAGAGCATTGGGTCAATCTCATGGAATCTTGTAGAAGAGAGGGAGGAACGATTGTATGAGCCAGGGGCGTCAAGAACATCACATGGGAACACAAAGAAACAAGTAACCTGGGGTGGTAGGAGCTCACAGAGTCTGGACCAACAACCAGGGAGCCTGCATGGGACCAACTGAGATCCTCCACACGAGTGTGACAGTTGTGTAGCTTGGTCTACTTGTGGGACTCCTAGCAGTGGGAGCAAGGATGTCCCCAACGCGTTGGCTGGCTTTGGGGAACCAATCCACACTCTTGATCTGCATTCTGTTGAAGTGACTTTACACCTTCCCCCACGGAGGAGATGTCTACTTGTCACCCCTTGAATCTTGGTGGCTGTGCAACTTGCACTGGACATTTGATCGTGACAGAAGCAGTGATTCTTCAACCCTGTGCTTGTCATAAAAGGCTTCTCACTGGCTTGCTTTAGGGCTAAGTGCAGAGACCTGGGAAACTTGTCAGTTGTAGGAAACCTATATGGAACTGAGGAGAAGATCAGTCCACTCAGACTGAGAGGCAGCATCGTCCTGAATATATGTACAACAGTTCCTTGAAGAGATGTGCAACTCAGCAAAGACAGATAATTTTCACTGAGTCCAGGCTAAAGTATAGCAAATCTTTTAAATCAAAGAATATTCTTAAGTAGTTATTTATATTAAACTACTTGAGAATGGTTTCTTTACTAACTACTAATATTTTACACTATAATAAAGTATACTTATGTGAAATTTCAAAAACACAACTCAGGTAAATGAGTAAGACAGAAACATATACAATTAATCAATATATATACATATAATGAGTATTAGAATATCTCAGCATGCATAGAATTAAAAGTAAAATCATAAAAATTTCTAGAATCAAAGTTACTCAGTCCAGAGCACTCATTTCACAAAATAAAAAAGAAATGCATAGGCAAGGGGTATGTACTTGGCTAACAAAACAGGGCAAATTCTACATTGTCTCCAACACTATTAACAAGTTGCGCTGCTGTTTGTGTTGTAGACAAAACTTTTCTCAATGCACCTGAAAGCTCACATATATAGAAAATGCTTGAAATATAGGCTTGAACCAAAAAATGTTAACAGAGATTTGAAGGAAGCAAGCACATGGAAGATACTATGTAACAACCCTAAGAAGGAGAACTCATCACCTGCAAATTCTCTTTCATCTCATTTTCTTTGAAACTCTGGGCCAGGGGCACAACCCCACGCTGAAGCAGGTATCGAAGTGCAATCAGGGCAGGGCTTCGCTTGTTCTTTTTGGCCACATCACAAAGAACTGGATCATTCAAGAGAACTGGAGAGTTCTGGTCCACCCTAGCAGGAAAGTAGAAATGAGCTGCTGAGGCCAAGGTTTTTGGTGGTGCTTCAAAACACAGTAGAGGGCACATACTAGACTGGACATGATGGTTATGGATAACAGTCAACTGGACAAAGTCTAGAATCATCGGGAAGATGGGCTTCAGGGATGCCTGTAGGGCATTATCTTATGATGAGAATTGATGTGGAAAGGCTCATGTTAATTGTGACTGAAACCATTCCCCTGAGCTGGGGATCCTGGACGGTCTAAATGAAGAAAGTGCTCAGATCATTAGTGATCTTCTGTCATTCTTGGCTTCTTGATTGTAATGTGAAGGGACCACCTGCTTCCAGCTCCTGACACCCTGACTTCCCTACCATTGTGGTCTATAGCCTGGAACTGTGCACCATAACCAGGCCTTTCTCCCTGAAGTTTCTCTTGTACAAGTACTCTGTCGGAGCGATGGAAAAAGAAACTGACTCCAGGGCTACTCAGGAGTCCCTGAACCACCAACTTCTGCTTCACCAGGTTCTTGCAAAGAAAGATCCCTCTCTCCCTGAGAACTGAGTGTTATGATGCTAATTGACAGTCTTGCTGCAGGTATACTCTTTTTCATATTACCATTCTTTATATCGTTGTGTTCCCAGAGCACCATAAGCAACGAGAACAATGTCTTTTGATTTGCAGTAATCCAGCAGCTTACTCTGGTTTAAATAAAGATGACATTCAACCTATGAAAGAGTATGATAGAAAGATATCAGATTATATCATATGCTCATATTATGATGAATAAAAATGCTTAAAGTCAATAAAGTAGACTAAGAAAATTATATGCAATATCACCTTTGAATTTAAAACAGTTGCAATTTTTCTTGAAAGGCAAAAGAACTAATTTTGGAAGATTCTGGTAAACAACATTTGACTGGGTAAGTTTTTGTGTCAAAAACTAGTTAGGGGTCAGCAAGGAAGTTTTTGGGTAAAGATGAAAGCTGCTAAGCTTAATAAAATCATCAGAAAGGACCATAATAAGATGGTGAGAAGCATCTAAACTCCACATAAGTCCTGAACACTGACTGATTTTTATTTTAACTTAATCTTTCAACAAAATGTCCCATGCTTCCTCATTATTCGCAGCTCAAGGAGAAGATCACTATCCCTGCCCCCAAATTCTGCCTACTGGTCTAACTTTAAATTTATACATTCTCCAAAGGTGGTGTAATTAATTATGTCCCCATTCTCACCAATACTTTAATAGTCCAAGGTGAATTTTGTAATCTCCCCCATTTTTTGAAGCAATGATACTGCTCTCAGAACCTTCTTTTCCAGAAAATGAAAATCACTTCCACAAAGGGCAAATGGACACATGTCAGTTGTACAGAGTGAGGAAAACCATGAGAAATGAGGAGGGAATGACAATCCTTACCTGATTGCAGACAGGCTTGTACTTAAGTCCTGGCTTATTCAGGATTCTCTCTAACTGCTTGTGGTTAAAGTTGGACACCCCAATAGACTTGACCAATCCTGCATCCTTACACTTCTCCAATGCCTGGTGATGAGAAGAGGTTGTGAAGGGCCATACTTGCAATTGGCTACATCAATATAAAGAGAAGATGGAACAATTTAATAAATTATCTAGAGTGAGACATACATTTCAGTATTGGAACACTTGCCAGTGTGTACAAGGCCCTATGTTTGATTACAGACACACAAAAAAAGGAAGGGAGGGGTGTATTGCCCAGGTGATCACTGGATTTAAATATGAAGAAGTCAAGATAATGGTGATATTAAGAATAAGATGCCAGGCAAAGATATATTTCTATGACATCACTAAAAAATTGAGGATGCTATTACATAAGGTGGCAAAATAACACATATTCCTTATTATCCTGAGTGCTTCTTCATTTTCCATCCCTTACATTTTAGTAATGCATTTCTCCCCTTCTACTCCAGCAAATACGTATGCATGTAAATGAATTTCTATACTGAAGGGAAAATGAGCTGGCTCTCCCTCCTTCTGCTTGCTCTATTGTCCTTTTGAAAGGCACTCACCTCCCACGTGACACAGAAATCCACTGTGTCCAGTAGTACTTTTCCTTGGTCATCTTTTGGAAAATCATCATCCCCTGGCTGGAAGAGTAATGTTTGTTAAATAAATCTCACAAAAACACGTGTCTCGCCTATAGTAAGGCTTTTAAGAATGTCTTAGAGGAGCTGGAGAGATAGTTCAGTGATTAAGCACTGGCTTATCTTTCAGAGGACCCGCGTTCAATTCCCAGAACCTACAGTATGGGTCCCATCTATTTGTAAATACGTTACATGGGCAATGCCCTCTTCTGGCCTCCACGGACAATAGTGCACAGACATACACACAAGCCAAACACCCATATACATTAAACAAGTATTTAAAAAAAATTTAAAGACTATCATGGAAATAAGACAATAAACAGCCATAAAGTAGTGAGGCATCAACCTATGTACTGTGTTTACAAAGTGATATACATGTAGAGTTGTACAAATTTTCTTTAGGAGCCTAGTTTGCTGTATTTTCTTATGTTAATTATATAAGTAATTAAATATTTTCTTTCTTATAATAATTTTATTTTTAAAATTATAATATAAGTACAGCATTTTTCTCCTTCCCTTTCCTCCCTCCAAACCCTCCCATGTATGCCTTCGCTGTCTCTCAAATTCATGGCCTCTCTTTCTTTAATTATTCTTAATTAAACACACACAAATATATATAATTCTTGCACCTAAATAATATTTTCAAACAACAAAATGAGAGCTGATAATTGACCTGTGTTCTTTTGTCTACTCTTTCTTTTGGAAAAAAGGAAAATGTTTCCTTTTCACAGGGAAGCCCAGTCAATGCATGACCTTGACCTCCACCAAGAATTTATATCAATCTAGTCCCAGTATAAATAATAAGTATGAGTGGCCCAAGGGCAGGCATGAGGGCCAAGGATGGCCAATCAGGACTGAGTGCAAGATTGATTATGAAAAGAAAACATGCAGAGAAGCCATGAAGTGTCAATAACCTTGAAGTTGATACTATCTTGGGCCACTATTGCCACTAAGAGAAAAATAGGGGCAAGACCCAAGCAAACACCTAGTAATACAAATAAATGTGAAAGATGTGTTCTAACAAGATTTTCTGGAAGTTACTTCTACTCTGAGATTCTGACAATTTCTTGGACACCTCATTTCATAATCCAGTAAACTCTTTGTAAAACCTACTAAGAAATTTAATGACATAAACTAACTTTATATGAAATTATAATGGAAACTTGTCTCAACCATCCATAAAAATTATTTCCATGCCCCCATGCAAAAATATGTACATTTGACAATACAAATCACCTACCATCATGGGCACTGGGAAATGCATAAGGTAAAGATCAACATAGTCCAGTTGAAGTCTTTTCAGTGATTTTTCCAAACTAGGCTGGACCAGCTCTGGCCGAAAACAAGTGCACCAAAGCTACAGAAGTTGAAGAACAAAAGTTGTGATCAATTAATAGATTGCCAAAACATGCACACTTATTTATCCTAATACTGAAACATGTTTTGTACTTGAAGGAAAGTTTTAATCATTCCCTTTACACCAGAATTTACTTTACTCTCACTTAACAATGTAAACTCGATTATATATTATTTGTTATTGATAGATCATTTATCGAACAATGAAATTACTTAAGAAATAAAACACATACTACTAATAACATCCAACAACTGAAATATTTTTCATAGACATTATAATCTATCATTACTTTTACTCACCATTTCTGCAACTGACTCCTTTTTCCAACTTCTGATCAAGTAATATAATTTTCACTTCTGCTGTGGGATGTTCTGTATGGCAAATGTGTTGCTCTGATTGGTTGGTAAGTAAAACACTGACTGGCCATTGGCTAGGCAGGAAGTGTAGGCGGGACAAAGAGGAGAATAAAGCTGGGAAGTGGAAGGCTGAGTCAGAGAGACACTGCCAGCCGCCACAATGACAAACAGCTTGTGAAGATGCAGGTAAGCCATGAGCCACGTGGCAAGGTATAGATTTATAGAAATGGATTAATTTAACCTGTAAGAACAGTTAGTAAGATGCCTGCCACGGCCATACAGTTTGTAACCAATATAAGTCTCTGTGTTTACTTGGTCGGGTCTGAGCGGTTGTGGGACTGGCAGGTGAAAAAGATTTGTCCTGACTGTGGGCCAGGCAGGAAAACTCAAGCTACAAATGGCACCCAACGTGGGCAAGAGTTTCCACCTAAAAACTGAAAAAAAAGATTCTAAAACGGAGCTAAAAACAGTTCCTAATTGTCCATCTCAAATGAGTGACAGCTGCCGGTTTGAGCTACTTGTGGGTTCCTGGCATGCGCACTCGACCTGCCATATGGCGGGAATGAGACCTCTACAAGTGGTACATTAAGCTGCATGGTGGATTTAGACATTGCTAGTACAAAACAAAAAAAAAGAGGTTTCTGGGCTACATGCTGCTTGGATAAAAGCATAGACCCACTATAGCTCCCAGAGCTGGCGGTTGGGAAGCTGAGGTGGGCGGAGCCAGCAGCCACAGCTGCTGTAGCTTAAAGCAATAGATTCACAATAAGACAGATTCAGATGTAATAGTAAAAATATGTGTAAAAGACACGTAGGCTTAAAAGAGAAAAAAGGTGATATATACAGTTATAGAAACAAATACATAGTTCTAAAAAGTAAAGTCTTTAAAGAGACAGTAAAATTAATATAAAAAATAAGCCACATAAAGATGAATATTACACAGAGAATCTGGATTGTGTTGTCTTTGGGATTCTTAACTGCAGAGAGATATTTGATTAAAAAGAAAGCTGAGTTAAACCAATATGTATATTTTAAAGGTACCTTGACTTCAAAATTTGGATATAAGGATATGTTGCTTTGGAAAAGAGGCTCTGCTTTTGTTTCCACAGAAAGCCAGAGGCTATGGATTTGTTACAGATTAAGATACATCAGGTTTGACCAGCCAAGACCCCCTAAAAGGTCTCCGATGACACCATGGCCCAAATGATCCAACATCCAGAATGGTATGAAAGCAACTGGCTCAGATGATACAGCCTCATGGACTATTCCATAATCCTAAAATTTTCTTTGTGTCCCCATAAGATACAGCGCCCCCCTCCAGCAGGAAGTAGTAAGAGAAACTACGCCCAAATTCCCAAATTATATGTAATTTTACTTTGTTAAGGTTAAAACCTTCCTTTTTGAAAAAAAGAAAGGGGGAAGTGCTGTGGGATGTTCTGTATGGCAAATGTGTTGCTCTGATTGGTTGGTAAATAAAACACTGATTGGCCATTGGCTAGGCAGGAAGTGTAGGCAGGACAAGGAGGAGAATAAAGCTGGGAAGTGGAAGGCTGAGTCAGAGAGACACTGCCAGCCGCCACGATGACAAACAGCTTGTGAAGATGCAGGTAAGCCATGAGCCACGTGGCAAGGTATAGATTTATAGAAATGGATTAATTTAACCTGTAAGAACAGTTAGTAAGATGCCTGCCACGGCCATACAGTTTGTAACCAAAATAAGTCTCTGTGTTTACTTGGTCGGGTCTGAGCGGTTGTGGGACTGGCAGGTGAAAAAGATTTGTCCTGACTGTGGGCCAGGCAGGAAAACTCAAGCTACACAATTCCTTATATTATATTTCAATAATTTGCACACTTGCATACTATAAAAACAATACCTTTGTAGTGATGAACATGTCTTCTCTCTTTACAATGCCAGCTTTAATTGTGCTTTGAATGGCCTGTCCTACCTCCTCTTCTACTTGATACACAAAAGCAGTATCAATATGGCGTAATCCAACACCTATAGCTAGGTTTGCAGCTTCCAGTGACTTACTCTTGGGAACCTAGAGGAACAACCAAAAGAGATATTTAGAGATGCATGTTCTGAGAGCTAGGTGAGAGTAAACATAGATGGGAGTTTACTAGACTAGAAAGAATTTTGTCTTTCAAAACCATCCTCAGACCAATTGTTAGGCAAGAGCCTAGTCCCTTGATCCTTGAATTTCCACTTTCTACTCTACAAAACACAAAAAATTCTCCAGAAACATTGTAGATGTCACAGAAAATGAAGTATCTCCACAGACTCAATGGTTGCCTATATTTTGTCCCACATTTCAGACAATGAGTCAAAATCTGCTTTCTTGGGGTCTTTCCTAATTGATAGCAAGACTTTCACGTCTGAGAACTTCTTTATACCCATGAAGTCCTGGATACTTATTGGCACTGATGAATGCCAAGATCACCTTGTGTTCAACTGTTTGCTTGAAAGTCACACTCAGCTTATGTAGAAGGGTTACTAAGCAAAATAAACACAAAAAAGTCTGCTTGGGATAAAGCACAATTACAAGGAGAACAGTGTCCTCCTTGACCCTATCTAAGACATTGTCACAAAGGGATAAGAAAGCAAAGATCACAGACACTAAGCAAGGACAGGTTAATATTAGGGACTTGGGCAGAGAACAGTGTCCTATGTCAGTATTTCTGAATATCCATTTTCTTTTCCTGACAGACCTAAATACTGACAGGAAAAGAAAATTGACCCTAGGAATATATCCTCATTAAAAATTAAACTACCTACATCATATTGGAGATTAGTCATTTGGGGTGTCAGCCCTTTCAACCTAAGATCATTTGTTTAAAAAAGATATGACTGGAATTAAATCTAAAATTACTGCCTTGACTGTGAGATTTGGATAATGATATGACAGTTCTTTTATTAAAGAATTTAAGATTGTGGCTGGGGAGATGTTTCAATCAATAAAGTGTTTGCTAACAACTCTCAGAATCTTAGTTCAGACCCCCAGCCCTCATGTAAAATCAGAGGATGGCATAGTGATATACACATGTAATCCCAGTGCTTGGGGATGCAAACTCAGGGCGATCCCTGGAGTTCATTGGATTGCCAGTCTAGCTGAATCACTGAGTTCCAGACTCAGTGGCAGACCCTGCCTCACAAAAATAAAGTAAGAGCAGTGGAGGGAGACTTTGACCTCTACCATCCACACACCTGGGCACAAACTCATGTAATCATAAACACAATCAAAGGAATTAAAAAGGAAATCAGAACATGGAAACAACCCAGATGCCCTTCAACTGAAGAATGGATAAACAAAATGTGGTACATATACACAATGGAATACTACTCAGCAGAGAAAAACAATGGCATCATGAGGTTTGCAGACAAATGGATGGATCTAGAAAAAATCATCCTGAGTGAGGTAACCCAGACTCAGAAAGACAAACATGGTATGTACTCACTCATAGCAGGATACTAGACATGAAACAAGGATGACTTCTCTGCTACTCACATCACCAGGGAGGCTACCTGGAAAACAGGACCCCAAGAAAGACACAGGGATCGCCCAATGACAGAGAAATGGAATGAGATCTACATGAACAGCCTGGACATGAGTGGGGGTAATGAAAGGCGAGGGTTGAGGGAAAGAGAGCTTGGGGGAGCGGAAGATGCCAGCTGGATCAACAACAGAGAGGGAGAACAAGGAATAGGAGACCATGGTAAATGAAGACCACATGAGAATAGGAAGAAGCAAAGTGCTAGAGAGGCCCACAGAGATCCACAAAGATACCCACACAACAGACTGCTGGCAATGGTCGAGAGACAGCCCGAACTGACCTACTCTGGTGATGGGATGGCCAAACACCCTAATTGTTGTGCTAGAAACCTCATCCAACTACTGAGGGATCTGGATGCAGAGATCCATGACTAGGCCCCGGGTGGATCTCTGGGAGTCCAATTAGCGAGAATGAGGAGGGTTTATATGAGCGAGAATTGTTGAGACCAAGGTTGGATAAAGCACAGGGACAAATAGCCAAATGAATGGAAACACATGAACTATGAACCAATGGCTGAGGGGTCCACACTGGATCAGGCCCTCCGAATGGGTGAGACAGTTGATTGGCTTGATCTGTTGGGGAGGCATCCAGGCAGTGGGACCAGATCTTGTGCTCATTGCATGAGTTGGCTGTTTGAAACCTGGGGCCTATGCAGGATTGTTTGGCTCGGCCTGGGAGGAGGGGACTAGACCTACCTGGACTGAGTCTACCAGGTTGACCTCAGTCTGTGGGGAAGGCTTTGCCCTGGAGGAGATGGGAATGGGGGGGGGGGGGTTGGGGGGAAGGTGAGGGGGACGGGAGGGGGGGAGAACAAGGGAATCTGTGGCTGATATGTAGAACTGAATTGTATTGCAAAATAAATTAAAATAAATTTTAAAAAAAAAGGAAATCAGACAGCCTTTTCTGATTACTTTAATAATTTCCATATTTATCTTTCCATAAAAAAAACCACAGTGGCTTTAATTCTGGCTTGTACCACCTTCTCAGGATACCATCCCTGACTAATTTATGAATAAAGCCACTCTGTGAGTTACCAACACTGAGGCTTTAGCAGTGGCCTTGACCTGATCTTGGGTTTTGTGACACTTTGCAAAAGAAAGAAATCCTGAATATTTCTCCAGATTTCCCTATTATACATGCATAAATCTAATAGGAAGGAAATGTACAAATTTGAAGTTAAGGGGAGTGTTCCTTTGTCACAGAATTAAAGTCTCAAAAGGTTTACAAAATAAGAAATTTGCCCCATGTTAAAAAAAACAGTATTCTTTAATGTTTTCACTTCTGGGGACCACCAGGTGTTATGTGAACCCACAGGAATCTGTGAAAGGATCTCTAGAATTTATTAAGATATAGAATGGTGATAATACACTCACAAATACAGAACAAAGTAAACACCACTGCTTATTCTGCTGTTCTTGTCCTCCATTCTGCCCATGGATTTTGGGAAAAAACCATCAGGCCTCCATACCAACCAAGAAAGCACAGCTCTTAAGGGGTCACATACAGACAAAGCCACGCCCTAGGGCTTATATCCCAAAGACATTGGCTGAACGGAAAATTTTTCCCACAGCAACCTTGCTCTAAACTCAACATGCATTAATGAAGACCAATAATTCACACTCATCTTTACTAGGTCCTCCTTCCCCTTATCATAATGATGTATTACAAACTTCAGTGAGTTTCCCACAGTTGAGAATTTGTACATGGGAGAGCTTACTCAGCTCTGGTGCAGTATTCACTATGCGATGCAGAAGGCTACCCCAAAACAAAACTGAAATATTCCTCAAATATTTGTTTCATGCATTAATCTAGAGGGAGACAACCTGAGCTACCACACGGATTTCCTTGCATCTTTCCTCCTTGAAAGGAAAAAACGGTGTTGTGGATTATAGACATGAACAGAGAAGTCCTCTCACACTGCAACCAAGAAAGCTGATTGGCAATCTGGTGAAGTTCTTCTCTTCTATCAAACTGAGAAACATAGACATAGGAAAAGCAAACTGCTCAGAATTGTTAGGTCAAGAATATGTCCCTTTAAGTCTGGAGCTCAGAGCCTGGAGATTCATGCCAAGTTCTCTCTTAGGGACTTCAAATAAGTACAGTAAACCCACAGGCAGGTCTGGGCTAGAAAAGCAAACCCAAGAGAAAAGACACAGCCACATCCTGTCAAACCCAGACTCCCAAGCCTACAACAAGAATAACCAGAGAAGATAAAAAAAAATCTTTCTTCCTATCCCTGAAGTCCCTGACTGAGTTACAGTAAATATTCCGATGCCACTGAGGCATGTACCTTATAGCTCCATCATGTACAACTCTAACATCCATCCTCAAAGAACATGTTTTCAGAGTTAGGCCTTCCCTTTGTTCTCCATTAAGCATGGCTCTCTGCTGGATCACCAGGAGCAGGGAACTTTCTCCCAGAGAAGTGAAAGCATGGAGAAAGACCCTATTCTGCCAGAATCCTGACTCAGCATATCTAGGGAACCTGCTTGGTCTCCTACCCACAGTCACCAATTGTAGATGCTGCTGTAATCTCTATTTAACAAAATTAATAAACAAGTAGGGACTCAATCAAACCCTGATGCAGGACAAGCCTAACTGTCTGCCTTCTTGTACTTGGCATAGCTCTAGCCTGGAAATAACTGAGAATCATGTAGTCTTACCTCTTGGGGTTTATAGGTGCCAAAACCCAGAGCAGGAATGAAGTGGCCATCATTTAGTTTGACAAACTGCTGTTTGGAACTCATGGCTTGCCACTCCTCTGCCTAAGCACGTCCTGAATCTTCCAGTGCCCTAAAGGGGAAGGTGGTAAACATTATATATCAAATTCCTGTCTACTGGCTAACAGGTGGCACTCCCATTCTGGTGGTTAACCATTCCTACTTACTGGCTAATGTTTAACCATTTCTACTCCCTAGATAATGATTAACTAGTGCTACTGTCTGTCTGATGGTTAAACATTACTGCTGTATACCTACTGTTTAAATACTTCTATTGCCTGTCTAATGGACAGCTGACAGAAAGGAGGAGGCCATGAAGTTATAGCTTTATCTCTCATGGAAAAAAGGAAACCACTCGTTTTCATATGAAGGATGAATTTTAAACAAAGTACTATATACTGATAGAGTATTTGTTTTCTGTAATTTTCTCTTATTATCACATATGTTATGTTTGTGGAGAAGAGAGTGACTGAATAATTATAATACTTCAGACACTTATTGTCCTTCGATCATTATGAAGCCTTCACTTGACCATGCATCATTGGAAATTAAGAGCTGCAACTCGCCATATAAACATATTAAAAGAACAAAGAAGCCACAATCAACCATTTAAAACATTTTGATACTCAACAATTAAATTTAGTCAACAATTATAAATAGAAAGGTTAATCTTTTTTGAAATTTTCCTCTATGTTTCCATTGTCATTGTCACAAGTACAATCCTGAAATGCATAAAGGGGACAAAACAGAATAGTGCTTAGTGTTGGCAGCCTCTGGATATTGTTTTACAACAAGCAAAGGGACTTAAACATTACTATAGCACTCAATGTTAGGCAGTTTTGAAATATTCGTGTACATGTGCTGGGTGTGCCAGAAGAGAATGTCTCATCACTTAGGGCTGTAGTTACCAGCAGTCATGGGTAACCTAGCTTGTTATAAGATTGTTGGTCAAACATTCTGGTCCCATGACCTCACAGCAACCACTCTGAACCACTGAGCCACCTCTTCAGTGTCTGATTTTTTTAGATCACTATAAATAAGATGTTAAATGCAGATCAATATTTTAGAGTTTGTAGCCTCATTCAACATTCATACAATAACTAAACTGAAAATGATCAAATTACTATGAGTTTTGGAGTGGGAGAGTAAATGCAAAGTATAAATGAGACACGATTCTATGTATTTATTCTATTACATCTACAGTATATGGGTTCTCACTAATGCAGTACATATGAGACTAGAATATGTGATCACTTTTAATGTAATCTGACCATACAATGTACATTCTATACAAGGTAAGGCTGAAATTTATAAAACTTCATTCTTCTGAAAGAAAGTTATGTTGATTAATAACTTTTTATATGCTTTCCAACCTATACTTAATATCTGTCAAGTTGGAGGCTAAAAAAAAAAGGTGTTTACTATGAAATATAAAGAGGGCTGAAGAGAGGGCTCTGCTGTTAAAAGAATCAACTCCTTTTCCAGAGGATCAAGGTCTGATTTTAGCAACCATTTGGCAGTCCACAGAGTTATGTAACTCCAGAGTATCTGATGCCCTTTTCTGACTTCCATGGGCACTAAATGCATGTTGTGGATAGACACACCATGTAGGCAAAATATCTATCCACATAAAAATGAATTGTATAGAAAAGAGTATCAACTATATTTCATTTGTGCCCAGTATCTGTGGCACAGAAACAGAGATCTATCATTGTGACTGAAAGAGCCTGTAATTCATTCCATTGCGTTTGTTTGCATGTATGTCACATATTATTTACACCTTCATCTGTTGATGGAAATTTTAGCTCCTTCCACTTACTGAACTCATGAAACTCTTTGTTAATGTTATCATACTTTACTTTTGATTGTCTGCAGACTGTGTGTGTGTGTGTGTGTGTGTGTGTGTGTGTGTGTGTGTGTGCATATGTTTCAGTGTGAAAGTTGATGTACATGGCCCACATGTCCTAGAGAAGTCAATCTTAAGGGTCATTGCCAAAAGCTACAAACTCCAGACCAAGTAATTTTGTGCTACCAATTACAATGTAGTATGAAAGTGAAGAGCTTCAATGAGCAGAGAATCAAGGAATAACAACTGAAGAGCATCTGTCGAGGTGAAACACTATGACGTCAGGAGAATTTCTCTCATGTGGGAATATGCATCATGTCTCATTCATAGTCATGCTTCTTTCTTCCACGTGCTTCCAGGGTGAGAAAGGAGAGGACTACATTTAGAATCAGAAGTTGAAGCTCCTACAGGGTCTGGCTCTTCCACTTCCACTGCTTGGTAATATCAAGCTAATCTCAACCCTGCCCTTCTGGTTTGGGGGATTCCTTTACTACCTCAAGGTTTCTGATTCTCCCTTAGACCTTCTCAATGGTTGTTTGTGCTTTTCCATATTTATACAGGAAAAAAAGCCAAATAATCATGAAGCCTCAGCACAGTTGCTACTTGACAGGTATGTTTATAAAGGGCTATTGGCTGTGTTTATTAAGAAGATGCTGAAGGTGTGAGGGAAAATAAGTTCTCTCAGACTTCTCATAATTAATAAAGTTCTCTTGGGCATCTCACAATTCATATGTAAAATGGCACAGGCTCGGATCGGAGCACCAACAGGGAAGATGGCCAGCGGTTTGAGTAAAATGACAATTTTTTGTAGGTAAATTTCTAAATAGTCTTATTAAATAAGAAACACAGAGCCAAATACAGGGGTGATAGCTGTAGAGATCAAAGTGAATAGTGAATAACCATTAACTAACCTTAGTTTACCACACTGCTTCTATAGTTTCCCAAGAGAACCTCTACCTATCTAACCTGTGCCTTTTTTTGCCTTGCTGTTCTGCATTCTCATTGGCTCTTAACACAGCCACTTCACATCCTCCTCACTGCCTGTCTATACAGACCTCCAGGTCTCTATGTTTGGTACTGGGACTAAAGGCATGTGTCACCCCGCTTGGCTGTGTCCTTGAACACACAGAGACTCTGCCTGCCATGTGATCGGATTAAGAGCATGTGCCACCACCACCTGACTTCTGTTTATGGCTGCTTATGACATCTGATCTCCAGGCAAACTTTATTTATTAACATACAAATAAAATATCACCACATTTCAGCACAAACAAAATATCACCACAATTTTTCAAGAATAGAGTCAACATGGCTTTCTGATATATCACACACATAGTAAGAAAAAAGAAATGGACTCCATGTTAACTTCCTAAATTTAGTAAGGCCAACAACTGAAGGAGCTGGCTGAGGAAATAAGAATGGAACAGATTTTCCCAGGAAGACAATGAGTTGAATTTTAAACACATTACATTTGACTTTCCAGGTATCCACCTAAGTGTGTAAGACAGTTGTGCCACTAAGCCTAGAGGTGTGCCAATGACACATATTTAGATTCTATTGGAAAATAATTTCCAGCTTAGGCACCCTGAAATTAGTATGAAAATAAGTGTGTTAGTATGGACCTTAATAAAATGATAACTGAGACATCCTATGGTTGAGTTGGTGAAAGGAAATTTAAAAGGAGCAGAGACTAGAATGGAAACTGAGAAGTACAGGTCCTGTGATACAAGCAAATAAATGGAAGAGGATATTTGTTCCAAATTTCCCCCAAGTTTGCAGTATGCAGCAATGTGTCTTTTCTTAACATGACCCACATGACCTTACAAAGCCCTAGTTGTTCATGACTGTTCTTTACTGTGTGCTCGGCTGCCACTTAGTGTTATGAGAGGGTGGTAACACAGCTCTTTAGTTATAATCATAAACTTTAAATGGTATTTTATAAATTAGGGGCAGAGTAGAGGTTATAGCTTTTGTCCCAGATCCCAGCTTATGTGACATATCCTCAGACTGATGGTGACCAAGCTCTTCAACATGTGTCAATGAGTCCTACTTCCACCCCCATAAGCTGGTACAAGAAACAAAGCCACAAAGGCTTAAAAAATACCACAGCAGCCAAGGTCACCGCCTCCATTGTTTCTCTTTGAATTCCACCAACTGGTCCAAAAATCTAAACAATATTTTTCCTCACACATTGGAAATGTTTGTCCCATTAAAATGTACAATCATAATTTTTGGATTTATTTAGTCAGATGGTAACATAAAGTCATTCCTCCCTGAACTTGAATCAAACAACAGGCATGCAGCTATACACACAAGTGGGCAACCCTAAATGAGAAATGAAATTCAACAGCAGAAAAGTAGAACCTCAAGATTCTGGATAACAGAAAAGCAAGAGAAACAGGGTGGTCCGACACCCGTGGCATAAAAATACCACTAGGGTGAGAGTAAAAAAGTACACCCACGTGGGCGGTGGTGGCACACGCCTTTAATCCCAGCACTCGGGAGGCAGAGGCAGGTGGATCTTTGTGAGTTCGAGGCCAGCCTGGTCTACAGAGCGAGATCCAGGAAAGGTGCAAAGCTACACAGAGAAACCCTGTCTCGAAAAACCAAAAAAAAAAAAAAGAAGAAGAAGAAGAAGAAGTACACCCACTTAGAGAGTTGTACAAGTAGAGGGCTCCAGGGATCTCCCTAGCGTAGCACTGACATCTTGCTTGTACACCTTCCAAACAAATCCTAGGACTGGAATCTGGACGTGCCTTTTCTGTTACTGTTATTTTTTTTTTTTTTACCTTTTGGGTTTGCTTGTTTTGTAGCTCTGGGCATTAGTCCCACAACTTTGCACCCCATGAATGGATGCTTTGCCGCTTAGCAAGACTGTAGGCTAGCAGGAAGGAAAGTACAGAAGCTCCAGCCATGAACCAACCTCATTCAAACTTTGATGAATAACTCACCTTAAGAATAGATTGGGTACCAGTCAATGACCCATCATAAAATGATTGCAGTGAAAAGTTGTCTGAGTTTCCACCCCTAGGCAGATGCCATCATGGAGAGAAGACAAGAATACCATAACTATTGTGGATATTACACCTATAAGTATTCTCTGCACCTGTCAAATTCACACCCTGTCAGATTACACATTACTAATGTGAGTCCTACTGAAGGGATCTATGCTCTATACTCCCACGTCTCCCTATGGAACATGATGGACTACATCAGTGTACAAACAGAACCTTAACAAATTGGAGCAACCAGTGTAAATGGGTGTTCTGTTGGTTTGTTGCTTTGTTTATTGATTGGTTGGTTTGTTGCTTGGTTGCTTGGTTGCTTGGTTGGTTGAGACAGGGTCTCTCTAGGTAGC